TGAAGGTTGTGAAGTTGTGACGGAGCGTGTTCGGCTTTACTTCGGAAACTGTCGTTAATGCCATGATGCGATATAAATATTGATACAGTACCACTGTACAGTACACAGATATTCTGATATTATATTATATAGTGATACAGTATTAAATGCACAGTCAACAGATCTGCGAATAAAACATCAATATTTCATCACAAATACAGGTAAGCCAATTATTTTCCATCTCTAGTCATTTATAATGCCAAAAACATCACAATTCTGGTCTGCTCTGGTCAAAAATATTTGATCAGGCTCGATATTTTTGCACACATTCAAAAAGTTGAACGAAGCCATTGTTGCTTGCACTGATCGTAGATCAGGCGCTTACCGCATGAGGTCCACGTATCAAATAGAAGCTGAATAGAAACCGAAATATAAAATCAAATCAAACTTGCCATTGTGCAGTTAAACAAAACCAACCTTGCCATATTTGTGCAGGTATATTGTAAAGAGCAAACCCAGTTTGGGGATTCATATGCTACAAACTGACCTGTCAACTTGCAGGTGAACGATTTACAAACCGCAACACAAAACAACATTGACTGTTGAACTTGACTGAAAAATACGAGTGTAGCGATTGAGATCAATCGTTCAAGAATTGGTTCACACCGTAAATTTACACAAGGAATTTACATTCTGGAGTCAAATGTTGATGATGTTCTGTTTAAAAGTATTTTACTTGCCATGTCTTAAAAATCTAGTGACTAAAACAGAAAAATATAATGAAGTGTGCATGTGGTATGTGCAGATGGTATGTTATCATGTTCATGTACCATTGCTATTAAGACTTTCAAAGAAATATTAATGAAATAGTTGACCGTCAAGTACAGTTCAAGCCGCCTTTCACCAAGGTGATCAATTAACGTTTAGATCTAATGCTGGAAAACAATGTGTTGCCATGTTACTATATTCTATTATTTATAATGAAATTAAATCAGTTAATATTTGGGACACATCCACCATAGGCGTCGAAAGATAGCTAAGTGGGGGGACCATATTCATATATTTGTGTTCACAGACCTTAAAAACAATCGATTTCAAAAGAAATTAATAATACAGAACACGAATATATGAATATGGTCCCCCTCACTTATCGATCTTTTGACGCCTATGACATCCACTATGAACCAGATTTTAGTTTATGGCAACAATTTATATATTGTACATGCGAGCGAGGTTCACCTCACATTCACATGCTAATAAGGCTTGCGAGCAGTGAAACATACAGTAGCATATTGTTTTGGCCTTTGGGAACTAACTGCAGAACTAATGCAGAACTAATGACATTTGACTAAAAGGAAACAATATGGTATGTTACAATATGGTTGAAGTGGAGAACAGGCCATGGAATATAATATATTTCCAGTATAGTAATATTACTTTTTTAAATATTGTAGATGGAACAAAAACTCAAAATAATAATCGGTAAAACTAACCATCTCTACCACCATTTAATTCCACCTGGCGAATCATGCTAGACTGTTTACTGTATACTCTACATCACTGTGAAGATGTTACTCGTTGAAAGAATATTTTACCTGTCTCATTTGTAAATAAGGAAAAGTCTGACCTTTAAATTTATACAACTGGACAATATGCGGTATGAGAATTTCTAATGGTTGGTCAACTGATAATGTATCAAGTGGTGTCTACTATTGGATAATGCTGAAAAGTAAATATTAGAAAATAAAACTGTATGAATAAATAAGATTTCTATCTGTCAGTGACCAGTTAAATATTCCAGATCAGGAGCAAAAGCTGTATGGAATCAGAAGGAATCTTATGCACCTTTAATGGTGTGCATACAGTATATCAGGACGCTTTTCAATTAATAACAGTATTGTAATAATGTATTCATCACAATTTTGGACACGTGAGCTAACACCTGCTATCCTGGAATGAACGGTGAATGTACTGTATCCCCAGTGGAAAGAATAAATGACTTTGTTACTCATGTTACATGTAATACCTTCTTAATATTAAAATATTGAACTTTCGAGGATAATGCCAATGCTAAGACTATTTAAGCTACTATTTTTTTAAGATTAGTATAATATTTTTATTATCAAGATAAATTGTCTAGTCGAGACTTCGAACTGTTGTAGTCTAGTTATTGTCGTATCTTATACTAAACTACGTTGAACTTTAATTTACCGATGTACAGGGTATTCTGTCCCAGGGGTGAATTAGAGGGGTAGGGCTTTCTATTTTTGATGATTGCATAATCTCTTAAATCATGTTCGAAAGTTTTTTTGAAATTGTGGTGGCGCCTCGTGAAAACCGGCACCGTATTAAAGTGTATCAATAATTAGCGATAATTTCAGTGATTTCTCTTTGGTTGGCATATAATCCACTAACGCCGTACGCAAATGCATGTACGCTTAGCGTACGTATTTTTATTCCAACGGCTAACCACATGTACGCAATGCGTACTTATTTTTAAAATGTGTTAATTGTTTATGGGAAGCTTAAACATTATGACAAACACTTCAATTTCTTACCGTTTGGCACACAACGTGTAAGGGGCAGAACTTATAGAGGCTAAAATTGTCTCTAGTTATAATTTAAGCCTTTTACGTACGGTAACTGGAGTGGCTGATCACTCTACTGTATATGATGGCCTATTTTATTCGAATGTGGCTCACAGCCACACGTACCTGAGCTCTGTCATAACTTCATGCCAAACATTTGTAAAATGTTCTACACAGAATGCACCCAGAGGGTAGATCAAGTCATGCACCTACTGTGTGTATCTTAAGGTTAACATCAAACTTTTTGACACGCTACTGTAAACATGTACATTATCTACACCCCTACAGTAGCTAGGTCTTTGCTCTGGGGCAAGTGAGATTTATCATAGGCAATCAGTAAAACTTTTTCTTTTGAGCTCAAATGCATTGTGGAAAAGTTGTTATTAAACATTGTTTACGCCATCTTGGTTTAACATGATCTGTATTGTCTATAAAACTGTTGAGTCTCTTGTATATAACAGTCATACTTTTGGGGCACGGAGTGGTGTACTTAACTCGGTAACAACAAGTGATAATAAAGCACAAATATCTCTACAGGCTTATTTAACATGTGATAAACTCGGAACTGTCTGTGCCAACGTTGGTAATGACAATAGTACACCGGATAATGTGGATTGAGAGGGAATCAACTACCTGAAAAATACAAGTAAAACTTCGACGTTTTGAGCGAAGGCGCTTCGTCGAGAAGTTAGTTGCATGAATTGAGAAAACGTCATGTGCTTTTATACTAGTTAATATATAAAAGCGATCACATGACAAAAAATAGACCAATGAGATGGATTTGTTCAAAACAAAGTGTAAATTAAAAAAAGGAAATCACATTACAGAATATGTTTCCTAGCTACTTGCATGTGAGGACGGACGCCATTTTATGAGCTCCGAAATGTGTTGAAGTATTTTTTTCCCTATTTTATGTGTTTTTTGGTGTATTTTGTTGTCGATTTTAATAATGAGTTACGACTATCTCACTTGCGATCAACTTAAAGCCATTTTGGACGAAAAACTTGCTCCCTTGCCAGCAGAAATGAGGGATCTTTAAGAGTTCGTAGACGAAGCCAACAAGAAGTACGACGAAGTCATAATAAAGTTACAGGATTTTGAAGTATCGTCTGAGAATAAGGTATTAAAGACAACCATGCAAAATATGAATTCTCGAGTAAACCAGCTGAATGATATAGGTAATGACCTTGAGCAATACACGAGGAGAGAATGTGTCGAAGTACAAGGTATTCCTCAAAGTAAAGATGAAAATACCGATGAAATAATTCTGAAAGTCGGGGATCTGATGGGTCTAAAGCTCGACAAAAAGGATATTTCTGTAAGCCATAGATTACCTGTTAGCAAGAAATACAATGCAAGTCGTAGAGAGCCGGGTATTATCGTAAAATTTGTCAGACGAAATTCAAAAGATTCCTTCTAGAAGGTACGCGTGAGCTAAAGAAATTCAAGACAACGATCTTGGTTATAGAGCTGAAAATTCTATTTACGTAAATGAAAGTCTAACGGAAAAAAACAAGAATCTCTTCAATGAATGTGTGAAGGTGAAAAAGAATCTAAAGTATGATTATATTTGGACTTCCAATGGTAGAGTCTTCAGGAGGAAAGACAGTGACCTGCCTGGCATATCAAGAATATCAATGATCTGAACATGTTACAGGTCATTGAAATTGACGCACTTTGGAAATTTCTCCTGAGACATGCCATGCGGATAACTGCAGGTGAGCAAGAGGATGTAGTTTGTCCTCTAGTCTCAATAACCCTGGGAATCATGGTAGTAGCACTGGGGCTTCTATTACCATTCCCAGCAGTAGCGGATACCAAGGCTGGGTCTGCCACAGGGGCGTGACCATGGTTATTCGAGGAACTGACTGTTGTTGAATCTCCCTCAGACATCGCCGTATTAGGGCGAATGGAGGGAAAACATACCCTGCGAGTTGGCTCCAATCCAGTGTAAAAGCATCCACTGCCTCTGCCACTGGATCTGGTTTCCAACTCACAAATCTTGGCAGTTGCGCTGTCAGTCTTGTTGCAAAAGGATCTACTGCAAATGGACCCCATTTGGAGTTGATTTTCCGAAACACAACTGAATCCAGTTGCCAGTCGCTGGAATCTGGACCACCTCGGTACTCGTAGTCGGCTGCTATGTTCAGCTGCCCTGGCAAATGGTGTGCCTCGACTGTGAGCGTTCGAGACACCATTGTCGAAGGTCGAAGGCGAGGCTGGATAGAACTAACGATGTTGAGCCACCCATTTTGTTTATGTACCTTATGGCCGACGTGTCGTCCATGAGCAACAAAACATGCATATTGTATTTGCTCTTTAGAAATGATTTGAGAGCGAACCCCCCCTGCAAGGAGTTCCAAACAATTTATGTGTAACAGGTGTTCTGTTTGGGACCAAAGGCCCCTGGTTTGGGTTTGCTCACAACGAGCCCCCCAACCTGTTGTTGATGCATCTGTCTCGATGATCAACGTGGGAGGCTCTCTCAACAGAGCCTTTCCATTCCAAGCAGTAAGGTGATCTCGCCACCATTTCGGCTCCTCGAGGGCTGCCGCTGACCAAATCACTGAAGCCTTGTAACTCCCCTGTTTTGCCAAGCTTTGTTTTTTGACATCTTGGAGGTAACGATAATGTAGCGGTGTCGGGAAAACTGCTTGAATTGAGGCACTTAACTTGCCTAATAACCTGGCTAATTCTCTCACCGTTATTGTTTAAATGTTACTGAATTTATTCAAAAGCCAAGGAATTCGAGAGACTGAACTGGATTCAGTTGGGATTTCTGGTAATTTGCCACAAATCCCAAACAGGCTTTTAGCCAGGGTCCTAAAATGTATGCGATCCATTTTGAAATGTCCGTATTGAACAAAGTGGTTCTGATCAATTGTTTGAGATTGGAAAGTGGCTGGTGCCCCCCGCCCCTCTTGGGGACCACAAACAGCGTGCTTAAAAACCATGTGCTGTGTTGTTGTGGTGGAACTTATTGTATTGCTTGTTTTCCTATCAATTCTTCCACCTCTTTGTTTACGACCTCTGGGTCCTCTACTGACACCATCATTGCCGGGATTGTCTTCTGAAATGGCAGATTTGAAAAACAAATTTGGTACCCCGACACAGCCTGGAGTACCCAGGGTCGTTTGTCACTAATTCCCTATTTTTTTACAAAATATTTTAAACGAATTGCCAGTGACAACTGGTGACGGAGCCCGAACTTTTCCCACAATACATTTATTTGGGGGAATTATGTTAGGTTTGTTTCGTTTTTTAATACATCTATTTCAATTAAGGTTGTCCACGAGCAAAGCTGAAAAGTCGAATACGAGCGCGAAAGGCTGCTGGGAATCACTTTGAAAATTCATTAATTTGTTAGCGATTTCCAGCCGCCTTTCGCGCTCGTATTCGACTTTTCCGCTTTGCTCGTGGACAAGCTTAACTAAAATAGCTGTATACTTGTTATGTGACCACTTTGAGCAATCACTACTGGCTTTGTTGTGACTGCATGGGATGTTGTTTGGAATTGAAGGTTTAGAAATCTGACTCTCCCCCGGCCACGTTCAAAAGGAGTACCTCCCTCTGGCTTGGTAATTGCATCTGCCCCGTTCTTGCCCCCCCCCCCCGCGCCATGGGCGGTAACTGGAGGGGCCCCTCTTCGAAGAACCTGATTTGCTGGTTTCTTTGCAGTTGCTGCTGAAATAATCCGAGCTGTTTCATTCATTCATTTGTTTAATATTTTCTTCAAAGGGTTCACCAAACAACATCTTGCCCGCATCTGGAAATGGCTCAGTGGCAAGTGAATTTAACTTTGGATTAAGTTTATCCAGAATTTGTTTTCTTCACTGAACTGTTAACTGATTGTTAATACTTCCCAGTAAACACAGGGCTTTTGTCAGGCATGCATAGAGACCATTAATATTGTTCGAAGGTACAGTGATTGTCTCGGCACTGTCCTGGCTTGATTGCCATGCTGATACATTCTCAAAGACCGTCGATAATGGCCCAACCAGATCTAAAATTTGGTCTTGGAGCATTTTAGGCTCTTTGTCTACACTTTTAGCTCCAGCAATCAGTGCGCTCAAATAATTATCGAGGACTGGTGTGTATACTGCCTCGATATTTGGACGCGCGAATTCTTTAGTTATCTGCTTTCGTTCGTTTGCCAACGAATAAAACATTAAGAAGACTAGAAAGTTTTTCTGAAGCTTCCCAGCGTGCAGGACTATCTTCGTTTATCTCAATAAATTCATCGGATTCAGATAGGTTGGTGTTCTTTGCAGGAAATTCAAATTCCTCCGCACTAATCTCTTCTACGTCCTCGTTCTCGTCCTTAGCTAACTAAATCAATATATTGCTAACTATAAATCAAGATATTTCAGCAAATACCATCTACAGTGCTTAACATAGCCAATCGTCGGTTGGAATTTAAATTTTGTATAAAGTGTTCGTTGTTTGTTCATTGCTTATTTCGTGTTCGTTTTGGATCAACGATTAATATAATTTGGTCGGTTGATCGATACGCGCGAAATACGTCATTACGACGGCGCGCAAGTTTGAACGATGGAGCGGTGCGCGTATGTCTGCGCTAATTAATGGAAATAGTTACATACATTTGACTTGAAAATTACGATGTGACAATATTTTCAACTGGATAAAGGACGGAGTTAAGGTGGCTCAATACACTTTTTAGCCAAAGGAGCAAAAGTTGAATATTTTCTGTTTAAATGCTTTTACAAGGTTAAGTTTTACCTATAATTGTAACACATAGTAAGACATGTCGCAAACAAGAAGAATTCTGATAAAAGTCGCGTTTCCATGACAACTATAACGAATAATGGTAACACTAAATAGCCGAAAATATCGCAGTTTTTCGAGTTGTTTTCAAAAATGAGTTTGGTGACCCCAATTTTTTTTTTAATAAATCAGTTACGTTAGTGTCGAGAAACATTTCTGGGAAGTTTAAAAAACATCTGTCGACTCAATTCTTTAGAATTAAATTTTGACTTTTTTGACAATTTCTGTCGACAATTTTTTTTCATTTTTCCATCATGAAATCTTGAAGTATGTATCTACTCACGTACAAATTTCCAGAGAACCTTACCGAACTCGTTTTGGAAATAATCACGGTTTTATTCCGCGCGGCCAAAGTTTTTCACACTCCGCAAGATCAATGAATTGATATGCGCGTACATGTTTTCGCAGGCACATCTCCAGAAAAACACGCACAAAAAAGTTTTTAGTCTCGTCGAAATATCAAATATATATTGTTTTTTCTTGCTTAGAAATGCAAATATATTTAGTTTTGCATGCTAACTCGGGATAACGCCAAGAAAACATGTGATTGTCGGTCGTTTGGTATAAGATATGTGTGACATGTATGAACTTTTTGGCTTTTCTACATAGGTTTATATTCGTTTTCAGTCGTAACTTGTATGTTTTCATGTTGTTGTTGACAAGTTAAAACAGATTGAGCCGGCGCATGATGCTGTTTCACTGTATTCCTTTGCTGTTAGTAACACTTTGAATACATTTACCAGTTGTACGTACAAAAAACCTCTGGATATGAACTTATAAATCGCCAAATATTGGAGTAAAAACCTTTTCGCCGGTCGGGCCGATCGCCGGTTTTCACAAGAGTTTGAACGTTGAACATTGCATTTTTACTCGCTGGGGCACCTGTGCTTCGGGCGAGTATAGGTTTCGGCATTCATTTTTAGTGGATCGGCAATCTCCAATATTGAATCTCCAATTTTCTTCGATAGCCACAAAATAGAATATTAATGAGCTGCCTAATTTTCCCCCCAATTATCCATAAGGCTCCTGCCAGTTTTACCCAAATTATCCATAAATAACCCGGTATTTTGAGGAAAATTTGGGATGATTGAACAATTTTACAAGGAATTTCGCACGAAAGCAACAACCCTCTCAAATCGCAAGTTTATACGTTTGGCTGCACTGCTTTATATTTTGAGAAGAAAGCGACACCGTTCGATTCAAGCTTTAAATATAGCGCATCAATGCTGTGGAATAATCTTCCATTAGATGCAAAAACGATAATAGAAAGAAAGCGACACCGTTCGATTCAAGCTTTGGAAGAAAGCGACACCGTTCGATTCAAGCTTTAAATATAGCGCATCAATGCTGTGGAATAATCTTCCATTAGATGCAAAAAGAGCGACCTCGCTCAGTCAATTTAAGCGTAGTATTGCGGAGCTGTCCTTTTAGAACCATGTTGACTTTATTATAGTTAACTCTCTTTATTTACTTTACTTGACTTTATTTTCTCAATTTGTTGTTGGGGGGAGGTTGGGGGGTTCATATAATATTCCACATATTCTACTGTTTTATATATCACGCCCCTCCTGTAAATCAGCTTTTAGTTGTGCGAGGCTAGCGTGTTTTGATTTTAAATAAAATTGATTGATTGATGAAGTGTATTACAAAACACCAGTATTCTAGCGATTTATGGCCTTTGAAAATCAAGCGAAATTGTATTGTTGACTAATCGCTCGCAGTACGTATACTATTGTTGAGAAATCACTCGTGCTTGTATTTGTAATGCCTAATGGCGCAATAAGGATAAAAATACCACCGTTCGATTCAGCGTTAGAAATTGTACTAAATAAATTAGTGATTACGGATGTCAAATGTATTACTAAACAGCAGTATTCTATAGCGATTTATGGCCTTTGTCTTTGAAAATCAAGCGAAATTGTGTTGTTGATAAATCGCTCAAAGTCAAAATTATTAAACTAATTATAAAAAATGCAGTACGTTTGATCCTTGATAACTTTGGTATCATTGGTTTTTAGTCTGAAGTTTCTTCGAAACTTCACAGTATTGTAATGACTGGGG